AATTATGAGAATTAAAAAAATTGTATCATTAAGTTTAATATGCAGTCAGGAAATTTTATAATTACCATTTATAGTAAATTTATCAGAAAAGCTAAATATTTTTTTGCATTTTTATCGTAATAGACAACTAAAATAGAAATAATAGTAATCATTTCCTAGTAACTTTTGATGTTTAAAAAGATTCTACAATTGAAATATGAACTGAATTAATTTTAATTAACTAAAACTAACTTTAACTAAAAGACGTGTTAATTTATTGTCGTTAATTAATTTTTTGTTCAGTAGGCACAGCAAATATAAATAATAGTAGCAATAAAACTCAACAAAAATCAATTAATAGTTGCCTTTCAATTTTATTGAATGCATAAGTGATGGATCGGTACTTGTGTAATCGATCCATAGAACGAGTACATTGGTGGAACGAGTAGGACCGATTGCACTGGGTCGTTACACTATCATTCCGTTGGTACAAAATACAGTCGATCCCCAAATGATTACAGTAGTGACCTGAGTACTTGAGTAGTTCTTGCTTGTTCGGGATCATAGACAAGAATACTATGTTTGGGATTGTGTAACTACGACCTACAGTAACTGTCTATTTGGTAAACCGTAGACTTGGCCTCCCTCTTCTTACTGTGATGGAAAACTAACGCTATCTCTTGGTTTTTGAATAATTTAAAAAAACACTGTTACTAGACTACCAGTTTTAAAACTGCTAATGGTATACATCCACATATCAAATATGTGGCATAATCAAATTATTAGTAATCCAGAGAATCTCTTAAAATTTTACTCGAAATTAAAATCGTTTATTCTTTTGATAATAGTAATTAATTATTAATGATTTTGAGTATGTTTCAATTACATTAAATACATTTATAATTTATAACCAAATTATTCAATTAAGTATAAGTAAAGAAATATGCATAAGATGTTTTAATAATACTACATACTAATGTATAATGTTTGTATAAAATTATTGAAATTTTAAATATACTAATTCTATTACGAAATTACGATTATTTTACTCATAATCGAAATATTTTGATTATGCCCATCACTAGTTAAAATGTGATTATTTATATCAAAAAATAGTCTTTGGTTTTCTTTTTTATAAGCTAAGTCTCTAGTATGGTCTCTGTTAATTGAGTGTAAAAAATACAACATGTATAAATCAAGGCTGAATTTAGACTTTTGAAGCCCCTGTCCAATTTTTTTGGATACACCATTGAGAAAAAAGAAGTCGTCAATTTTTAACGCTGGTATGAGTACTAGGAACTTTTGGCGAGATGCTAATGGTTAACCATTTATACAACGCTAAAAATTAAAAAAAAAAGTTAAGTGCAGTATTTTTGTTGTATTTTTTAATCGAGATATTTTTAAATTAGTATAGATTGATAGTATGACTTATTGAACTCTCTGTCATAAGTAAAACACTTCGGTGCGTATTTTACAAAAAAAATGGTAAAATGATTTTGCCCCTTCCAAGTACTTTCATTTATGATAGGAAAAAAAGGATGTTGATAGTTATAAATTATTTTATTTATTATCTCTTGAAATTTCATTTGATCTAAGCATTATTCAAATAGGTATTAGATTTATTATAATCACCAAAAATTACATTCTGTATAGTAAAATTAAATAATCTATAATTTAATTTTGTTTTGAATGAGAATGTAGATGTTGAGTTGTTATACAAAATACTACAAAATCGGAAATTGTTACCGAAAATTGTATGATTTTTGACTTTAATGCCCAATATTTCCTAGAAATCAACTTTTTGGATATTTACCATCTTCAAGTACATTAAATTTGCTTTGACTTTGTGTAAGTTTTTAATGAAGTCAGGTTTTTGAGCATTATGAGATATTGAAAAGAAAAAAAGATTTGGTATTAGTTTTGTTTCATCAGTTTTTTATCAACATTTGAAAACAGTTTGACTCTCAGACAACAACAAAAAAGTTTATTTAATTATTGTATTATTTAATCAAATATTTTAAGGTGATAATTTCATGAAAAAACACTCGTACTATAGATTATTGAAGCAATTATTGAGCTAGAAAGGTATTTAAATGAGCCTATAATAAAAAGAAAGTGGGATCCTTTATTATGGTGGAATGAGAGGAAAATGACGTTTTCTAACTTATTTGATCTTTTATTGTTGAGATTATGGGTTCCATCAACTTTTGTTCCGTGCAAACGAACATTTTCTAAAGCGGGAAGTTAAATAATTTAACAACATAATTATTATGTTATAAATTGTTAGGGGCTTGTTTAATAGTTGAGGATCTTGGTCAATACCAAGAATCGGAAGCTACCCGACGTCTGCCCAAATATCGTCCCTATCTCCTTAAATGAGTTTTAATTACCTGAAGGAGACACAGGCAATCGTGTACCTTAGTTACAGGGGATAGATTATTAAATAAAATTAGACTATTGTTTTATGTCAACGACAAAGTAAAGTTATATTTTAGATGTTTAGTAAATATAAGTTATATGTAATGTACAATACGTCTGACCTGAATCCTAGTACAGTTGGTTAGTAGGTATATCCAAGTGAGACGGAGTTAGTTGGCTATAATGACAATTGGCGATAGTCGTTGAATAAAACAAGTTAAGTTATAAATAAGACGAAAGTAATAGTATTGAAAACTATGTCTATAACGATCACTCAAACACAACTGCCTTTTGTTAGTTCGACGTCAGTAGCTCCGGGCTATAGACGAGTAGAATTGTCACATCAGCATCTCCATCTATGCTAATTAATATGTATTACGAATTAAATAAATAGAAATAAAACGTGTGTAATATAAGTGGTAAGAACATAGTAATAAATGTTCTTACAATATGATTTAAAATTTTAAGAAGAGATTGAAAATATTTTAGCTTCGATGCGAAGCGGAGAAGGTATTAATTTTACTATGATGTGTTTTTTTTATGTCTGTTGCCACTTTTTCTCAGCTCTCACTGGACCGATTTCTTTCAAAAATACGTCAAAAGATCACAAATCGTATCTAGTTGAAGACATTACCCTTAAAAATTGAAAAAAATTCCCTCGTTCCCCGCAAATGGGGGAAATATCCAAAAAAATTACAAATTTAAAAATCGCTAATTTTCGAAATTTTTTCACTTTTTTTTCTTAAAACTTCCATAAC